TACACGGCTGAAAATTTGGGTGCCAATATGAGCTAACTAAAATAATCATAAGGGTGTGAAGCCTATCTTCGTCCTGGAGACGCAACACACACTCACATTCGCATGTGCTCACACTCTCGCCATATGTTAATTGCTTACACGGCTTAATTCACCCGCGGCTGATAGACAAAAAAAAAGGAGAACCTCAGCGAGTTCAATCCGAAAGTGTTCGCCTCGCCTTAACCCTTCTTCTGAGGGCTGCAGGAATTCGGGTTTTGTGGAGGTCTGCACCGGCCTCGCTGCGGACGTCAGCTGTGCAAAACAGCGCGCGGTGCGATGGACGACCAAGACGCACCTCATGTTGAGACAAACTAACAAAACATAAGGCTGCAATGGCTGCCTGTTTCTGGCTGGCGCCAGGCAGAAATGGAGAAAACTGATGAGACAGATATCAAACCAGCGGTCCTGAGGTTGATACTTTTGGAATTGCAGCCTGTTTCTGACTGTTGACAACAACCAGTCCGAATAATCGAAAGGCAAGCTGCTGATACGTAAAATCTGCGGGTTGCTGATCTACCTGGACCTATAAAGACTTTATATATAGAGCCATTTTGCAAACTCACCTCACAGGTGGCTGATGTGTCTTATTTCTCTTTCTGGGCGTTCATCTTGACACACCCACAAAGGCTTAACTGTCTTCCAGTTGCATGCGCCAGTGACCAGGTATAATCTGCAGCTATACAAACCATCAAAGTCGGCACTTCGCAACCCGGAGCAGCTCCATCCACGTCCGTCGTCCCACGTCGTCCCACGTCCCACGTCTTCGGCCCAAGAAGCGTGTTCACGATGACATTCCCCACCTGCGCCACGAAAAGCTGCAAGAGAAACGGAGAATCAGAATTCCTCAAAAGTTTTTTTGTGACGGCACGTCGTCTTTCCTTAAGGAGCAATCGTTCACTGTATCTTGGCAGCCGAACCACTAGTAAGCATCGAAAAGAGTGTTTGATTGATTGATTGATTGCTTGCTTGCTTGTTTGTTTCCTTTGTTTTTTGTTTGTTTTTGTTTTTGGTTTGTTTTTGGTGTGTTTTGTGTTTGTTTGTTTGCTTGCTTGCGTGCTTGCTCGTGTGTTTGCTTGCTTGTTTGTTTTGTTTGGTGTTTCTCTGCTGCCAGGGCGCGAAACAGTGTGTTTCAACACGATCAGTCTCCCGGTCCGTCCCGGGTCGGCCATGGAAGACAGGTCCACCTGGTCCTGTGGGACGCAGCACGCCGAGGGCGCACATGCCGTGTTGAAGATCGACCTACAGCGGATCGGAGCAAGCTGAGGTCGATGCGGTCACGTCACCATCCCCCCAAAAAGTACCTGAAGCAAAGTACCATTAAAATCCATTAAACATAACTGTGAGCTGTATTTGACGGCTGTACATGTACTTCTTGAAGTCGCTTTTTGCGCAAGTTTGTCACAGAATTTGGAGAACAGTTGGTGAATCAAGAATCTGGCAAGGAAGATCCACTGGAGGCATGAAGTTCACCACCAACCGTACACAGGTAGACACCTGAGGACCTTCTGATTGGACCCGGCTCGTTTCATTTGGATGAAGCTTCAATACGTGTTTCATGCCGCCAATGGATGGCATGGGGCACATCACATTAATATGGCAAGAGAGCAAAAGGATGCCATTAATGGGTCAAACTCTGTGACTCTTGGTGCCCCCCACAATACAGCAATGATTGAATTTGAATGCTTTAAAGTGATACAAGGTGATGTCCATCTCGTTTGTGGTCGCTGTATGGAGCTTCGGAACATCTTGCGAACGAGAACTTCAGCAACACCTGGACCTTCCAACTACCAAGCATTTCTGGTCGATTTGGAAGATCCAGGCATGTACTTTAAGATCTTTAAGTACATATGGTTAGTAGTAGTATGGTGAGTATCTTCAGGCTGGACCTCTAAAAGCTGAACCACTAAAAACACCAACTCAAGGATACTCAAGGCCACTCACGCCATTCGGCTGGCTGGGGCTTTCCCCATCCTCAGGCCACTCATCTGGGCATATTCGGGCACCCGAGCGCTTTACCTCCCATGGCGGCGCTTCTGACTCGGGACTTTTGGGCAAGTCCAGCTGGCTGGTCGTGTCAGTCAGATTGGTTGGGGTTGTTCTGTTCGGAAATCTTCGGTCTGGCCGTTGTCAGGTCGTGAGCGCCAAAAAGGATAGGGTTGTGTCTGTTTGATGCACCAATTGCAACTTCTCATGGAGCGAAAAACTCTGATAGGTGTGGATTCCCATCTATGCACCGGAGGAGTTCCGGTCTTGGAGGGTCAATCGGTGCGCCGGCCGTGTCCAATTTCCAAGCGGATGTTCTATGTCTCCGCAACTACGCATGGCAACTGAAAAAAAAAGATATGTATGTGGCATTATGTGGCTAGCTGAAGAAAAGTCTGGTGCATCCCTTCCATTTCTGTTCTTGATGTCTCTCCTACATGTACACAAAAGGTTCCACTCTGTGAGGGCCTGGCTTTGGAGCAACAGGCTGCGGAAAAGCCACAGACCAAACTTCAGTGACCACGCATCGACCTTGAACATCGCCGAACCCTCCAAAGTGAGCTGGGTCGAAGCGAACGACCCATGTTCAAAGCGAAACGATTTCTGGCAAACAAGGACGCTACTAGTAACAAAGTGCATCGCTACTAGTAGCAAGAAGCTACGAATCTACGAACGTAGCGATGCCCTTTTGTTACGTTCGTAGCGTCCGTTTTGGCATGGACGGTATTTCGTAGCGTCCGTCTGTTGAGTCGAGGGTGCAAGGGTCTGGGGAGTCGAGCGGCCAGGCTGCAAGCATTGGGGAATCGTCTGCCACGGTTGGATCACTGCTGCTCAGTTTGGGGAATCAAACATAAAATACCTTGGTGAGCCTCGGTGATCCTTGGTGGTAATGATTGGTCAGGGATAGTTCACGGAAATATGACAGCATGATTGAAACTTCTTCGGCTTTCGACAAAGGATCTACGTATTGGACCCCTTCAGGACCTCAAGTGAGAATCAATGAAAAACACAGCTTCACCCCCAAGAACAAATCGACAAACCCCCCCAAAAAAAGGATGTGCAAACGTGAGACCCCTTGGCCCGTTACGCTGAGTAGACTGGTCTACGGTCTATGTCCCAAAGCTGAACATCGGAACGCCATGGGGGGTCGGTCGGTCTGCCACAGCTGTTGAGCTACACAAGTGCTACACACCCACAAGTACTACACAAGTGCTTCATCCCCTGCTGTAAGCATCACCTCACAACTGTTTTTCACCTCACAGCTCTGATCGGATCGCATGTGCCGCCGGAGATCCTGGCCGGCCTGGCCGATGGAGCGCGGACTCGACGGATGTTTTTGAGGGAAACACGTGATTTCGCGGAGATCATGGTCTAGTTTTTCTGTACCATGTGGGAGACTTCAACCGGATTTGGGGGATTGATGATACAAAAGCATTACATGACTTTTGATATAGGACATTATAACCTTGGAGCTGAGGATTTGGACAGTTGCATATACAATTGGGATCAGCAACTTGCAGTTTTTCCAGACTCCCCTTTAACCATGTGTGTTGTCGCACGTGGGATCCGTCATCTTTTCAGATGGGGTGATCCCAATATTCTTTTTCAACCTGAGAAGCTGCAAAACGAAAGCCAGCGCTTTTGTGGGGCTGATTCGCAGTGCAAAGCCGGGAAGAAGCTATTTCCACTGTCTGTGAAGCCTGATGCGCGCCATACCTGGGAACAGAATTGTAGCTACAAGACCTTTATTTTCAAGGTGGCCTGAACAGAGTGTTTTAGGGCAGCAAA